AAAAGCATTCCAGTACAAACCTGTGTGCCCCACCTGTGGGCAGATATATGGCACTTTGACAGGAAACCAACCTGAGGGAGGTTCAATGACGGTTACCACCAACTCATCCTCTTTACCTGGCTATGAAGGTTATGGAACTATAGTGATCCAGTATGACATTAGCAGTGGAATTCAGAAGGTAAGACTACATACAGTACGGTGCATATACAGTTTGGCTTCAGTACACATTCAGAGTGCTGGGTTTCCAATGTCTGTGGAGGCCCAAAGAACAGAGGATATTCTGTTACTGAATAGGAAGAAAAGAGGGAGAGAAGGGTTAAATAAGGTGTTAGGTGTTGATTGCACAATTTCAAAAAATGTATATATATATATATGTGTGTGTGTGTGTGTATATATATATACATATATATATACATATATGTATATATATATGTATGTATATATATATATACACATACATATATATGTATATATATGTATGTGTATATATATATATACATACATATATATACATATATATAGACATGGGAAATAAAAACCTTACAGAACAAAATGGAACAGTTTACTAGTCTCATTCTACACGAGACATTCAGTAAGATATTGACATTATATATCAGTGATCATCAACTGGCGGCCCACTGGGCGAATCCAGTCCAAGACTGAATTAAAAAAATTGAATTATCAGAAAGAAAATATTTAGTGCTCCCAAATATTAAATCTATTGAGCAAAAAAAAAAACAACAACTGATAATTGGCTAACTATCAGTAATCCCCATGATTTATGACTCTTTTTACTTTCTGAAATTAGGACAAACTTGCTGCACTGTTTGAAAAATGTGATTTTTTACTTTTTTGCAGATAGATATTTTTGACAGCAAGCTCATTACATACAAATACTATCTTAAAGAAGCGACTGATGAGTGCAGTAAAACAGAGGTGTGGCGTCTGTTTCTCCATTTCCAGGACGAGCACCCTAACCCTGGTCTGCCATACACAAGACTGTCTCGTACGGCCTACCTCCCTGACTCCACTGAGGGCAAACAGATCCTGGACCTGTTAAAAAGAGCCTTTGATCAGAGACTCATATTTACCGTGGGTCGCTCTTCCACAAGTGGCAGAAACAATACAGTCACATGGAATGATATCCACCACAAGACCTCGATATATGGAGGACCAACATGGTGAGGAGTATTTTATTGTAAGCACTCTATTAAGTCCTTTAATGCTGTTTTTATTTGAAAGGTTGAAAACTCCTTTTCTTTATTGAATAGTTTACTTAAACTTAAATCCTACTCGGTCAGTGGGTTTGTAGATAAACTACACCTTGTTCACCCGACTAGACTTCCATCTGCTCCACAATACAAATGCATAGTGAAAATGATTAAGCGATTAGAAAAAAGAAAAACACCTTTTTACAAACCTGAAGCAAGACCAGGGTAAAATTTGATGTACTTTATTCATACAAATGAAAATGGTCTTCCAAGAAATTCAGTTTCCTTTGTCCAGAAAATTCAATTTCATAAAAAGGGCCACTATTCTAAAAATAAAGAAATTAAAGATCATCAATATATAAGCATGTTTGCTAAGATGCAGACATTGACAAAATTTAAGTGTGCATTTTTTTGTAATATATAAATATATTATAATAACTGCAAATATTATTTTCTTTTTCTTCTTTGTAGTTATGGTTACCCAGATCCTGAGTACATGGATCGAGTGCGTGATGAACTCAAAGCCAAGGGAATTGAATGACTCACGTTACGGTATCATGATCTGTCATTAACGGAAGACCAAAGACACACTGTATAGTTAAATTTGGGTTGCCATTAAGAAATGTAATAATACATATTATAAGAGATTGAGACAGCGTTATAAACATTTATAACTACTTCATTTTTATCTTGTTATAAAAGTACTGCTGAAAAAAGTTGACATTTGCACATTTTCATAATAAATAGAACTTTCTGCAGCTCACTAGAAATTAAAACATTAAAACTAGGACAGTCTTTGTAATTAATTAATCCAAAAAATATTACAAAAACGTGGGGGGTTTTTTCATAGTAACATTGATTAATCAATCCTAATTGTAATTTAATTCTTGAATAATCCACAAGTACCCTCATAATTGTTTTAGCAGTCCTGATTAGAATATATAAATATGTAATATTTATACACAAATATTCTCATGAACATCATTAGATGGCCATGAACTCAAGCGGAGTGGTAGCAAGGAACAAAAACTCAAGTTTCCTTAAATCAGTTGTATGAATAGGCACTTCTGAGCTTTTTGTTTATTTTTTTCAAGGGTCAAAGACAGAACACAGATTAGAGGTCCCTTTATTTATTTAGAACATATATAATCTCTCACTTTTTTTCTACAGCCTCTGTTAATATTCTGCCACTCCTTCTCTTGTCCATTTATTGTCAGCTGATCCTCCTCTTGCCCTTTGCTACATACAACACCAGACAGTCACCAATAATCATGATTCACAACCTCCATCCAATATCATTTGCGCAGATAATGAACGCTGTGCTTCAGACAAAAAGCAGTCATTAAACAAAACAATGGTAATAAAACGTACAATCAAAATAAAGTGAAAGGTTTTGTTGAATGATTTTGAAAAAAAGTCAACGTTGTGTCAAGAGCTAACTGTAACATGGGAATCGATAATGATTGGACCATGAAATGTGTGGTTGTTTAGACATTGTGTAACTAGTTTAACTACTCAACAGATGCTGTAAACTTCCTGTGTCCATCCAGACAGAACAATACCTTGCCCACGTGGGTTGATGTTTACTGTATTAAATTGATTGACATTGATTTTATAAGCAGGGAGCTAACAGACTTGAGTTAAGCTTCAGTTGTTTTTATAGACAGTGCCACAGAGGAGACCGCAGTGTTTCTGTTTAATGTATTTTCTTTCAATACAAGGGTCCCACAACATCCAGATTTTGATCATTTCACCATTCATGTCAATTGTCTTAGCAAGGTTAGAGCTTTGAGGGGGGAAATTGGTTGTGTTTTACCCCATTGCCAGGATGTTTTATTCAAATACACTTAAACAGTGGAACAAATAGAATAATATTGTACATATTTGGAATGTGCTCTTTGGCTATAAACACTCACTATAAAGAGAGGGCTTAGTATGGGTCTCTTGTTTTGGCTAAGAAGAAAGTTTTTTGTGATGTTACCCAATTTGGCAAGATTGTTCTCTGAGTTCACATTAGAGAAAGCTGATATTTAGGTAAGAAAAACAGCATATACAAGCGTCTGGACCTCAACCTAGTACATACTGCATTTCCTCCATGTGCATCAATTTCAATAAAGGAACAGATACTAAAATAGCACATGACTGAATCATGCAACCAATGTCTCATTAGTACCAAAAAGGCTTGTGGTAAAGGCTTAAGTGTTGCACAGTTAATATATATTATATTTGAGTTTGAATGTGCATCTAACTTGAAGAACATTTGCTTTGAGTAAAGTTCAATGTGTAGTACACTGGGTGTTTACAAAGTAAATGATCCTCTACATAACCTCTAACTGTTGGCTACGTGCTGGTTCAGGGGTTAGCACCATCGCCTCAGCATGCTGATACTCAGGTCCTATCCACAGTGCCACGGTTAAAAACGTGTGGGTTTCCCTGCTATGAATGGGGCCAGTGTGAGCTTTGATAGTTTTCTTTCTCCCTGCACCAGAGAAGCAGATTTTTTCAGTGCTGGTTGAGCCTGTGGTTTGTTTGTTGATGTACTGGCATGATGTCGGCTCCATCTTAGGTGGTCACAATGCATGCTAAAAACGACACAAGTGTTCACATTGTCTTAAAACAGGACTGAATAGCAGCTTAATAAAATGGAAATGTGTTGTCTTTCATTAACTAGCCGCTAATCTGTAAATCAATAAAGCTCAGATTACATCAGCTCCTGCTTCTGCTTTAACCCCTTAATAGTTTATATACGTATTGTAAATAAAACAATGTAAAATACTCAAGAGAAGTTATAGTATATTTGGTATAAGCCTGTAGTTGTTGTTAGCAACTTGTGAGATGGAACTACATTAGGCTAAGTCTAGGATTGTTGTGCTTAAAATGCTAATTCAAATGCAGTACAACATAAATTGCCTTCTAATGAAACACTACTGTTTAAGATTACAAGTTTTTTAAGATTTGTATATGGCTGAAATAAGTCTCCTTAGTGTTAGAAAAGCACTGGTTTTTAAATCTATTTAGCTTTCTTTTTCAATTGTGTCTTTCTTTAACAACAGTGACCCTGTTGGTAGCCTTGTTTTCATTAACAGTGAGCACGCCATGTTTTAGGCCCAATTCGTCAATGCTTTATCCAATCTGACTACAGAATTCCAATCTATTACTTTAGGATGCATCAACACATTTTTTAAAAAGTCAAAACTTTCTGAAACAACAATCTGTTAGCTCTCTCACAGTACTTTCAACAAAATACAAAAACAAAACCTGTTATAACAAACATCACATTTGTACATGTATCCAATTTTAAAGACCTTTAGGAACATCACGTATTCTTACTGCACTGCACTTTGTTAGTTGTTGTAGCATCAGGTGTTTCCAGGTGGTAACTTTCAGTAAGCAATGGCTCACAGACAATATGTTCAAAAGCTTCAAAAACACTACTGGAAAAATGCAGATGTGAATCGACATCTGTTTCAGACAGCTCACTCATTCATCATTACCAATCCCTCTCAATTATATTTCCATGTTTTGTTTTGAGCAAAAAGACACATGGGAGGTAAATGAGAATGTGAAGAATAAACATTTTTTTCTGTAATGAAAAGAAATTAAAATGGAGGAGAATCAAGAAGGGGGCAATCAACTCTAAAGGTCCAGGCAGAGGGCGCTTAATAAGTCAGTCAAGTGTTCATGTCAGGGTCAGTAATGTTATTTCTTCCGAGACTTTCAATGCAACTTTAATGTTTTTTGTTCTCTGTGCAGTAGCTTTATTTGGTGAACGCAGCCACTACGGCCCATAACAGCTCGTTGGTGTTGGGCTTCATGCTCTCACCCTCAGGCTCCAGTTCCAGCAGCTGCCGCACTCTCTTCATGGCCAGGTCGTATTGGTCATCCAGCAGCGGGGCAAAGGCATTTTCCAGGACATCGGAGGAATGAGCTAAGAAGATGAGTGCAAGCAACCGCTTGTCCATTCGATGGGGGTCGTTGACCCACTTGTCCAGCACAGCCTCCTGGACCTTCTTAATAAGACGCTGCTTGATATTGTTGTTGGTCAGAGGATGGGTGGTCATGTCAAAGAGCAGAAAGTTCTGCTTCTCTGTTGTGAGGACGCCTTTCTCTACCAGGTTTTTGGCCAGTCGCTCACGGACATTTCGCAGTTGATAATGAAGTTTCAGGGGGTTCCATGTCTCTCCTAAAGAGGAGCAGGTGAAATATAAGAGCGTTATCTGCTGGTTTTATATACAAATTATATGTATCACTTTAATGTAATCATTAGTTGTATTATTATGTATTATATAATAATTAATAACTGTGATATGTCTATGCTGGAAAAGTTCTCATTTGTAACATGAATACACAACACTACGTTAGTATGTCACTAATAAGGTTCTAGGAGGTTAATTCCAGCATATACTTGCAATAACTGCAAAGTCGAAATTAAAAATATTATTTTTAATTGCTTAGTTCACATACAAATGCAGACACTCTCGCTTCGTGTTTCTCGCAAATGAAACACAAGGCATTGGTTTAGATTTTATTTGAGGTTTTAAAGTTACGGAAAAGAGAAAAACTAACCACTGAGTAGTTCAATCCAGCTCTGCACAGTCTCTGGTGGTTGGGTGTCTTTGATGTGTTTTAAGGCTTCATCCAAAAGCACATCCCCTGTCGGAGCATCTGACTTACAAATGACCTGTTAAATTAATTGAAAGTAAAGACATTGAGTAAAGAGTATATTTACCTCAGACAGGTGCTTAATTCTTACCATTTGAGGCAAAGCATTATAGTACAGTGATTATAAACAGCCATTTTGATTAAAATCCAACATTGTTAATGTTCTACCTCTGTGTTCAAACTTTTAGCTTGGACCAATTCATGACAATAAACATGTATTTCAGTTGGTATACAGTTGGTACAAAGTCCTGTAATGTTTAATGCATACCCAAGCATATTTATTGTGAACCAAAAAACACCTTTACATTTTTTAATTTAATTCAGGATTTCATGTCCTACCTTCCTGGTAAGCAGACCTTTCCTCCTCATGCCACAAGCCTCAAGCTGGAGGCGTCCCCTAAGGGCCAGTTCGATCAACATGCACCCTCGCAGCCCTGAAGAAATGCAGTCATTCCAGAATGATGTGTAGCCCTGCATTGAGGAACCACAAAACAGGTCTTTTAAACACCGATACATGGTATATGACAATTCAAGTGGGTTCCTTTTAGCTTCCCAGCTAGAACTGAGGATTAAATGGAATATCCTTTAATTTCTGCATTATTCAACTATTTGATCACATCACTCTTTGAAGTTTGTGTCCATTACAGTAGGTAAGCTGTTGTTAATGAATGTGATATTTCTATGGTATTTAAGTGTGAATCGAAGTACAGTGCAGATTCCTCCCTTGAACTTTATTCACAGAAATCTCTGCTGACACTCTAAATTTTACAGTATGGTTGAAGGCAGATCAAGGTTCTTTGCAGCCTTGTGCTTATGAAACCCTTTTTTTTAAACTAAAAACAGCTCTCACATGACTTCACGAGTAACAACCCATAAATGCTTGAAAAGTTCTTGCAATTGATGGATTATCTCTTTAAACCCTGATTTAATACACAAACGTTCACTTAACCTAGTACCTCAGTGTAAAAACACTGCAAAACTTTTCAGTGACATCTAGTCTGTGGATTATGGAATTGAGTGAGCTCAATTTTTTTATGCAATTAGATTTTCTATTGGGATCAAAGTGAAAGACATTTGCTTAGTGAAAGTGTACTTTGGAATTCAGTAGTATAATGTTTGCCAAGTCGTGTTGCCACATACATGTACTGACGTTCACCATGAACTCACCCGATTGGAAATTTGTTTTTTAGTTCCTTTAATGTGTCAACGATGAATAGCTGCAGACATAAACTCACGCCACGTGAAAACATCTACTTCGCCTAAATCTATCACATACGACCACTTTAAAGAATGATTACCAGAATATAAACATACCAAGAAACGCAGATGGCACAAAGGGCCAATTATTGTACTCAGCTGGTGTCAGCTAGTAGCAAAGGCTAACCACAGCTACCCATCCCGTCGTGTAAAATCCGACGATTTAACCATAAATTCACTACAAAAATGCTCCTTTACCTCACGGTCCTTCAAGCCTAAAAGCAACACTTCTTCCATAAGAGTGAGACGCGTTTCTTTGGAGTCTCCGCCATCGTCCTCCTCTTGTTCTTCCCCCCGCCGGGACTCGTAGTCCTCATCGGCCGACGAACGCTCTTTGTCGGCGGGATATCGCGAGGCTTCTGTCCGCCTCTGTACCAGGCCCGAACTCCGCTGAGTCAAGGAAGTCATGGCGGCGGCTGCGGCGGCGACTTAACCCAGCTGAACGACGATAAATAAAAGACGCCTGGGACAGCGTTGCCTAAGATGTTTGATTACTCGATTACTTGCGCTGAACCATATATCGAACACATCGATTGCAACAATTAAGACTCGTGAACATCTGGACGTTTATCCACCTCCTTCCCTCCTTCTTTCCTTTCCTTGACTTGAACGTCCAACAAATATGGCGTCGTGTGGCAACTGTGATACTGAACTTATCCAGCAGGTAGAGACTTAACATACCCTGAAGAAACTGTAACTGAGCGACACGTCAGCTGGTACTATTTACACTGCAGAGACATCACACTATGCATTACATAACAATGATGATAATAGACGGTGTAATATACTTTGTCTGTGTTCGTTTTCCTTTATTTATTGGATTTCGAGTTCAAGTTAAAATCATTTTATGCACGAATAAATGCAATCAAATTAGTATTTATTCTTTACAATAGGCATAATTGTAAAACAATGATTATCCATTGTTTTGAGTGCAGCTCCAGAAAGCTTTAGTTATAATTAGCTAGTCAACCAATTCTTTTTTTTTTCAATTGTACTACTATTTTTTGTCACCTATTATCCCTGATGCTTGTTTCCCTCCATTCCACCCTAACTACACCATTGATTTCACGACTTTTGTGCACTGACATTTCTTGGGATGGGAATTATCGCTGATGTAATCCCACTCCTACCTTGAGCTCTAACTCCAACTTCACATTTAACTACTGAAAGTCGCTAATTGGCCCTATACATGTACATCACTACACTATAGGTGTGTATACAACTCCTGACCTTCCATAAACTTTTCTACCAGCACTCTAAAGGCAAAAATTACATGTAGTATTCTTTCTGGACAAAACAAACAAAATAAAAAAACAAACAGCTATTCACTAATGCAAACCTCTTGATTTAGCCTCACTTTGACAACTCTTTCCNNCTTAATTGTATGGTTGATCAACTCTATAGCTTTTCAGTTACTAGAACCCCTGTTCCTGAAATATCTGAAGCAGTACATTCTTTCTCCATTCATTTGGCATCGTTTTAGTCTTCAGATCTGTTAAAAAAAAACCTGGTCGTGTACACTCTCCTGAACATCTCCATACCTCCACAGGAATGTCATCTGGACCGTTCACTCTTCCACTCTCCATCCTCCTTTCTGATTAAACACCTGCCCATCTGTCTCTATCCCTAACTCTCTCTCTCTTTCTCACTCTCTCTCTCCCACTTCCCTTATTCATAAGCTTCTCAAAATACCCTATCTTTAATAGCTAGTACATATCACTTACTATCCTTAACCAATCTGACCTGCTAAATATCCTATTTAGCCCAATCTCTCCTTTTAGCTAACTGAAGCAAACCCTTCTCATATTCCTTAATGTCCAACCTTTCATACAACCCATCAAACACTAAGTTTTTGCCTTTGCCTCAAACTGCCTTCTCAGCTACTTCTCTAACTTCATAGTATTTATTTTGTACTTCCCTGTGTAAATGCTTTTCTGAACATTTCACCACCAACTTTTTCTTGTGATCTCTCCATTGACTCTCCATTGACCTACTTTCTTCTAAATTTCTCTCACTACCATAACTGCTCTTTCCCAGTCTTCTGGGATATCCTCATGATCCCCAAGATCATCTCTCAACTCTACTCTAAACTCTCTGCACTGCTAAATAGTGGAAACTGACAGATGAGTTTTTCAGTTTCTGCCATTTATACATTTTTTTTCTCTCATTCTCCTCCTTATTTCCACCTTTACTATACATACAACCACCCTGTGTTACTTAGCTACACTTCCCCCTTTACTTTGGAATCTCCAACCTCTTTCACAGTATGCATGTTCCTCCACTCTTGCTTTATATTCTATATTGCTATTTATATTCCTCTGTCTTCTTAAGACAAGTTCAAGAGTCAACGTGTGAGGATGTGGAAGCACACCTCAGACTCCTGGACAATCAGCACTGGCTCTCCGCAGGGCTGTGTCCTTTCTGCTTATTTCCCTGTACACAAACAACTGCACCTCAAGCCATCAGAATGCCAAGCTCCTGAAGTATGCAGATGATACCACCCTCATCGGATTCATCTCTGATGGAGATGAGTCAGCGTACAGATGGGAGATTGACTGCCTGGTGACCTGGTGGAGACTCAGAATCTTAGAGCTCAATGCCCTAAAAACAGTGAAGATGATAGTGGACTTTAGGATGAGCCCACCCCCATCAGCACCCATCACTCTGGGTGATTCTCCTGTGGATACTGTAGACTTCTGCTTCCTGGGAGCCATGATCATCCAGGACCTTAAAAGGGAGCCAAACATCATCTCCCTGATCAAAAGAGCCCAACAGAGGATTTAAAAAAATGTCTATATTCTTATTATTCTGTAAATGTCCACCCATAGGCACAATCTATTTATGAACAATTGTATACCCCCATATACATTTCTTTCGCTGCACTGTATGCCAAAACAAATTCCTAGTGTAATAAGTGTAAACCTACCTGGCAATAAAAAGATTCTGATTCTGATTCTATACTACTGGTTCATGTGGAAAATTCTTACGCCTCTTTTCAAGGTCTACATGCCAGAACATAAATAAAATTATATATTAATTACAATTATATAATAATAAGTATTGACATATATGTTATGATTATGTAAACATCCCATCACACTAATTAGAATCGGAATTTACAATTTTACTGTCCTTGTAACTTAACGTCTCACCTCTGGGTGGCAGCAGACAACTGTTGGATTTGCTTAATACCCATGTTCAGCAACGAAAATATTCTGTAACTCTCAGTGACTTTACATGTAAAGTTAAATATTGCTACATTAATCCATGGTACTTGGTAAAAAACAATTGGGATCATATTACCTTTTTTATGCTAACAGGGAGAATTGAATAGATTCCAGTGTTTCCAAATGTTTCCAAATGTCAAACCCTAGAGTTTAAGAATTTTAAGGTCAACATGTAAGTTTTTTTACTCCAATAAATGATAGGATTACTCTTTTGTTCTGTAAATTGCATTTTAATATTATTATTATGATTAGTAGTAGTAGTAGTAACAGCCGCAGCAGCAGTAGCAGCAGTATTATTTCTGATGTATTTAGAATACATTGCAGCGTCATGGCAATAAATTCTATTCTATTCTATTCTATTCTATTCTATTCTATTCTATTCTATTCTATGAGTGGAACTGTTAGCTGGAGGCGGAGTCAAGGCTGAAACCACTGTCTCGACAGAATGTAGACATTTTATCTCCTCCTCCTTCTCCTCCTCCCGCAGCCAAGCAGCAGCAGCAAGAGCTTGTGAAAGCTCATCAGTTTCTCTCAAGCTCAGAATCCAAATGTGCGCAGGAAGAAAAACAAACACCATCAACTCACTTACTGACCTTGTGCTGCAAAAGGCGCTTCGTCTCGGTGACTTTTTCCTGTTGCAGAAATCATTGGAAGCACTTTTAGAGCCTGGATCACAGACTGTTTTC